CCGGAAAAAAAATAAAGTTGGTTTAGAGTTGCTGAAAAGTGGTTTTTCGTATTCAGCACACTCGATAACCCAGAAGATTTTCTGTTTTTGGCCCGCGGTACTTCCGAAAGTTTAGGAAAAGTTTTCAAATTAATATTATTTTTCCATGGAAAACTTTTTGCGCCATTTTGTTTCAAAAGTTTTCTTAAACTTTCGGAAGTACCCCGAGCCAAAAATAGAAAATCTTCTGGGTTATCGAGTGTGCTGAATACGAAAAATGACTTTTCAGCAACTCTAAACCAACTTTATTTTTTTTGTTCCGGTGATATGAAGTCATTAGTTTACCAGACAGTAGACGTTTTTATCCTAGATTTCGATATTAACTCAAAAGTGTAATATATTATTGTTCTTTGTGTTAGAACAAATAAACATATGTCTGGTGGCATCTGTTGAAAGTATTTGTCAATTATGGTTATTAACCCCCAACGCAGCAGTCGCGTCTGTGAACGAGCAATATACTTGAAATCATGCGAGTACGTAATCTAACATACAACATTTGTTAATTAGAAAAAGAAAACCCATAGAAAATTTGTTTTTCAGTAATTTTCTACTATATGGTTCAGGTCCGAGACCATCGCTAGACAGGCCTGTCTTGTTGTCTTGCCGCCGTGTCCTACCGGGCAGGGCGATATATTTTTTTTGCCCTGTCCTGTTGCTGGACAGGGCGACAAAAATTTCTTTGTTTTACTCTGCGAGAGATTGATTTTTGAGATTTTCAAGCTTCTTTTTAAGTGAAATTTTGAGATCTTTCGTATATGTGACAATAAAAATGACAGCTAACTTTTCTAAAATTGATAATTAATAGAAAAAAGATTCTGTTACACACGAGAAACACATCCAGTATTTGTGATGAGTTTGTTGAAGATAAAGTCTTCTAGATTAAGAAGAAAAACTTTCTTTTGCACTGTAGGGCGTTCTGATCAACCGGGCAGGGCCAAAAATGTTGCCCTGCAATGGTCTCTGGTTCGAAAGATGAGAAAACAGAATTGGTCCTGCGTTAAGTAACTCAAAACACTGCTGAAGTTGAAATTGCGTCCTTCCGAATAATGCTTTGACTAAAAAGTATATAGCTATCATAAATTAATCATGCAAATGACGTTGAGCAAAACTGTAACCACAGGAACACAAAAGCAAATATTTAAATTATCTGCTATTCAAAATTAGTCTGAAGTATCTTAATAGTTGATCGTAATGAACTATTTTGTGAAACTGTAATGTTGAACCAAAACTCAAGCGAAAATCGTTATTTGATTAGCGATATCTATGCCATTTTGATTGGTCAGAATCTTGTGACGAATAGGCGTGTCCTACAATCAGATGAGTTTTCATCTTTCACGTCATATCAGTATTTTTTGAATAAAAAACCTGACAGCTAATGGAATACAAAGGAAAAAAATAAAAAGGAAGAATAGTGCTAATCTTTTGCTCTATATTTTGCTGTATACTGCATTCCCCTAGCTCACTGGATTCAATTCCTGTTATCAACCGCATTTATTACATTATGAAGGGCACAGCTACTTTCAGACTAAAACTATTTTTATAATAAAATTCTGTTTATTTATCTGGAGGGTATTTTTTTAAGAAATTAGAACATCAATAGGAAAATGGTTCAACTTAATTAATATTTGCTTATTGATTGTTTATTTCAGATATTATCTACCTTGATGGGTTATGATGTAGCTCGCTTTCCAAACGAAATTGACGGTGAATTGATCTGCGCAATATGTGGTGGAGTTCTCCAAGATCCACTCCAAGTAAGCTGTACTTTTCAGAACTTCAATTATTCAATCTAATAAAAAACCATGTTAAATTCCTTTAGTCTCCTGATTGTGAACACGCCTTCTGTCAGATTTGTATAAATGAATGGCTATCAAGAAATCAAACTTGTCCGGTAGACCGAAGTGCTATTGTACCTGGCCAGCTTAAACCAGTTCCACGAATACTTAAAAACTTATTAAGCAGGTATGATGCAATACCAACTGGTGTTTAGTTTTATTTTATTGTGTTTTCCTGATAGGCTCAATATTACATGTGAAAATGAACCTCATGGATGTTCGGCAGTATTAAAGATGGAAAACCTTAATTCTCATTTGGTTGAATGTGAGTTTAATCCCAAAAAGCTTATAGAATGTGCTCAAGGCTGTGGTCTCATGATACCTAAAGACGCCGTGCAGGTACACGTTATTTTAAGTTTATGTTATTCCTATGTTGATGACCGTGTTTCTGTTTATTTTAGAGCCATAATTGTATTCGTGATCTACGGAAAGAATTAGAAGAATTTAAAGAAGAACTACAAAATTATCGTACGGATATGGATTTATATAAAGCGGAAGTTCGAACATTACAGGTATGTTCCTTGTTTTTGAGAGAAAAGTACGTTTGCAAATGTTACTTCTCTGGTCCATTTCCAGATTATTGTGAATATTCTAAAAAAACTCTAATATAATAACTGTCTCTAATAGAATGATAATGATTTTTACGATTCACTGTCTAGTTCATGAATATGTGGTTTTATTATTTATTGTAGGAATTCATTCGTGTTTTACGTATAAATAATCCAACTGTCAGTACATATTTTGAACATGTTGAAAATGATGAAGTATTACGGTGAGTAGAATGCTGTTTTTCTTACAAAGGATGATTGACTTTGCTTATTTAATATTTTTTTATTGTTGTCCTTTACCGGACTGTTTTAGTGATTCAATAATAAAAAAAGATTTTCGTTTTTTTGCAGTTGGTCATCATCTCTTCCAGTAGCAAGAGTCACCAGATGGGGAGGCATGATAAGTACACCAGATGCTGTTTTACAAGCAGTTATTAAACGTGCTTTGACAGAGAGCTGTTGTCCAGCTCACGTGGTGAATGAATTAATGGAAAATGCACACGAACGACATTGGCCACAAGGACTTTCAACATTAGAAACAAGACAAGTAAATAGACGTCACTATGAATCCTACGTTTGTCGACGAATACCTGGTAAGAAAAAATGTGTCATATTCAACAATTTTGTGTTCTTGCTCAAGTCAAATAGTTTTTTTTACTAAACGTTTGTATTTTGTAGGCAAACAAGCTGTCATTGTATTGGCATGTGATAATAGACATATGGAATTACAAATGATTCATGATCCAGGTAGGAAACCGCAATCTTTTACTTTTTCGTCAGTTAAAATTTTTTTATCTACATTATAGGTATAGTAATGATTTTTGCTCATGGCGTGGAATAATCGTTTCTATTTCTAATAATGAATAATTAAATTCGACTACAGTATTCTGACTCATAAATCTGTTGAAAAGGAGGACATAAAAATGATTTGTAATAATGGACCATTAGCACTTCATTTTTATCGAACAATAAGAATCAGATCGACCGTTATGCACGTAGTACTGGGTAAAAATATTCATTAGAGAAAAAACTACTGCCACATTTTTTTTGCGCGCCTCGGTTTTTAACTATAATTTTCAATATTTGAAATTGTTCAATATAGGAAATGTTTTGTCTGTTAACAAAAGCTTTTTTTAATGTAAAAAATGATATAATCTAATGTTATTTTTCTGCTATTGCCATTTTTTTCTGTTTATTTATTTATATGTGCAATTTCACTAAATCGGTTTAGCACAAAGAAAAGCAATTTTATAGTATCTGTAACGAGACGTGCGTATTAGAGATAAAATTGTATAATTAGAAGAACATTTAGGTCATCGTGTATTGCATGAAAAATACTTAGACTATGGGAATCATTTTCTATGCAAAATTTTGTTGTTGAGTCGCTACTGTCTGTGGTTGTTTTCTCTGTTGACTAGCTTCACAATATGACTTAATGATTTGCCAATACTTGATGCACCATGTTTCTCAAAAAGTCATGATTATCGTCAGTTGCTATTCTTTATCAGTGAAGTCTATCGTTGATCAAAGTTTAATAAAAAAATAAACACTGATACTATAAAATAAAACAAATAATTATAAAAAGAAATTCAACACAGTTGGATGAGAGCAAATATACAATATATTCTGATAAATTGTTTAGTAGCATATAAGTTTTTAAGTATTAAATGGTTGTTTGGCAGTTTTTAGATACACACTTATTTTTCTACTGGTATTTAACTATTAACACGTCTTATCTAATACAATGCATCATTCTCCTCTTTAATCAAAAAGTATATTTTCACAGGACCCTTCATTGTATTAACAATTTCGTGATGACGTATTAAGAATATAGCAGTAATACCATAGGTCATTGTACCAAACCCTAAAAGAAAAAATCCTCAACAGTTATGGTAAACTTTATAATTCAACTATATGCTTGGATAGCGTGCAAGTGTGAACGCTTAGGTTAGTAAAACTGCAACTTACCGAGATTTATTAGTTTAATAATTCGATATATGCGATCTTCAACAGTCAACGTTGTTTTTTCTCTTTTAGTACAGTGATATTTTATGTACGGAAAACAGCCTGAAAATAATAGTAAGGCGCATAGTTGATGACAGTTATCTTACACGAATTGAATACCTGTTCGGAGTATATTATAGTTAGTACCATCGACATCAAAATTAAAATGTGTTTGTCCAAACTGATCGTTTAAGCAATCCGCATAAGATAAAAAATAAGATGTCCAGGCTGGGTATTTTCTTTGTCTCAAATGACATAACAAGACTTCAGATGCTTTTGGTAATGAATGTGATCGGAAGAAATGATTAAATACACTCACCAGCATGTATTATATACTCATCTATAAAAGGTATGTATAATAAAACAAACTGAACAGCATAAAAGGGTTTGATGATGTCCAAGAGAAAAGGCAATAGTTCTCTGAGATTTCTAAAGTTTTTCCTTTTGTGATCATATTACTACTTTTATATTTATCTGATATATACAAATTCTATTAACATTTGTGTTTTTTTCTTTTAAAAATAAATACAACTGTTTCTATAAGTCAACTAGGATGAGTATGAATAGTTCGTTTAGCGCTCATTTGTCCCTGTGTACGTGTTCCATTATCTTCATTTCCACCTGTTCCTTCAAAATGACGCTTTTGTCCACCTTGTTGTTGTTCTTTGATTAACTTGAGCATTTCAGGAGCTGATAACGCCAATATTGACATATCAGGTTCGTCCGAAAAATCCATTAAAAAATCATTTGTGCGTTGTATACTTCCCAATCGTCCTAATTTAATGCATAATGAATTTTTAAATACTTGTGTTATACAATTGGTTAATCTTAATATATCACTTTCTCGAATAAGTTTTCCAACCGTATTCCATACATTCAAATAGATTGAACCTAGATTAAATAAAATCAAACATTGTGTGAATAACATTCTATACTTTACTCACCTACCAGTTTTATCAGCAACTTTTAATGAATAAACTTCATGTCCTTCTCGTGTTTTTTGCGGCTGATTTATTTTTATTACAATTACTTGTAAATTAACGTTTCGTTGGTTTGGTTCTAATTTAGCAATGCACGTTGGTTCGAAACGATCAGGTGGTGGTAATTGAATGACAAACGGAGTTGTTCCATCGAGTATAGCTGAATTATTATCCATTTCAAATTATCTACGATAAAACAATGAAATAAAATATAACAGTACTAGAGATAGGCACCGGGACCAAAAAAATTTTCTGGTGCCGGTAAAAGATTTGCGTGCCATTCCGTTAACTTTAGTGGTAAACTATTATTTGACCACGCATTTTGTACAGAAATGTTTGCTCTTTCAACCTAAATATATTAAAGTATATTACAGACCTTCGTTATCAATTTATTTAGCAAATACAATGAGACCAGATTGGTTCCGGCAATGTATACTTTAATATATATAGGTTGAAAGAGCAAACATTTCTGTACAAAATGCGTGGTCAAATAATAGTTTACCACTAAAGTTAACGGAATGGCACACAAATATTTTATCGGGACCAGAAAATTTGTTTGGTCCCGGTGCCCGTCTCTAAACAGTACACATAATTTATTATCTTGAGATAAGAAAAGTTTCGCATTCCTTCATTCGATTTTCTAATCTAATTGTAAACAATTTAGACTGAACTGTTTCGCAAAGATATGAAAATAAACATTTTGGGAAAGAAAAAGAAAATAGCCAAAAAGTGTTATAAAAAAAAGTTGGAATTACTTTAAATACAAAACTATTTTGGTAACTGTAACGTATAAGTAAAGAAATCTTCAGCAATAAATACTGGTCGAGATGGATAACACTGTTTTGCTTGTGATAATAATAAATCTGTTGTTATATCGTCTTCAGTATCTTCGTTTTTAGCTTTTTTTGCATTTGTTGAATCTAGTTTGCCTTCTTGTTTAACCGGACGGTATCGTTGACTAAAATGATTCAATAACAAACATTTTGCATTACATTTTTCAGCGACATCGGCTGCCATTGATGGTGTCGAATGTCCAAATTCAATTGCTTTTTCTTTTAACGTATCATCATGTGTTGCTTCATGAACGAGAATATCACAGTTCATTGCTAATGGAATGATGTTCATAGCGTTAGAACAGTCACCCAAAATAACAATTTTTCTTCCTGTTCTCGATGGTCCAACAAATTCCTCTGGTTTTAATACTAAACCACTCTCTAGTGTGACTTGTTCACCAGCTTTCAATTTTGAACAAAACGGCCCCGGTTTCAGTCCGTGTTCTTTTTGTAATTTTTGAATATCAAATTTTCCTGGAAGGTTATTTTCGATGATGATAAAACCATACGTTGGAAGTCGGTGTTTAATAGATACAGCATAAACATTACAATTGTCATCGGTTGATAAATGATATTGATAATAACCACCTTTTTCATGACTAGGATCAGAAATAAATTCCGCAGATACTGTCTTTGTCTGAGAGTCTTTGAACAAAACATCGGTATCATCTTGAGATAAAATGATGCCATCATCGGGATTTGGAATTAACTCATATATATCATATTTAAATACAAGTTTTGAGCTCGAAAGTGACAGAGTTGTTTCGACGTACTTTCGCAATCCGAGTGGACCGTAAAGAATGACACTTGGTGCCACATCTTGACTTTCAGTTTCTGTTCCATCATTTTCGTGTTGATTCTTCGTCATACCAGACGATAAACTACATAATAAGCCACTTAAACCGAATAGATGATCACCATGCAAATGAGTAATGAAAATTTTTGTTATTCTACCAAATTTTAAATTACTTTTCATTAATTGAATTTGAGTGCCCTCGCCACAGTCAAACAAGTAAACTAAACCATTTTGACGAAGTGCCAACGAAGAAGCACCACGATGTGGTGTAGGATTATTACTTCCTGTACCGAGAAATACTAGTTCCATTTATGAGTACAAACAATGTATACAATCAATGATGTAGACTTGCAATCAAGACAACAAATGAAAAAGAAACAGCCTTACGTATTATAGCGAGATAAACGTGATGCAATTAAATACAACTCGTGATCAGGCTATTATAGAAATTGAGGTTTTGCAAAAGATTGTGAAAATGTAATATAAAAGTTGCAACTTTTCCTTTTTTCTCATTGCCTACTTGAATTACAATTTATATACGAATGGCAAAGGGGCTCTACCGTCAACGTTTTGTACGCGTTATATTCACGCTTTTTTCTTATATGAATACTACGTAATTTTAGAAGGTTATACTTAATATGTTTAATACACTAGAAATGTTTAATATGCTAGAAATGTTTTCCGAATGAATCCGTTTGCAAAACATTGTTAGAGAGGAGATAAACAGGCTTCTGATTAGGCTGTCTTAATTAGCTACTGCGGTTAGAAAAATACACAAATTGATATGTATCGTGATTAATTTATATATATACATGTATAATCAATAGTTAATTTTCGTTAAATACTTTTACTAAAACTTCCACTAGTAGAATCGGTGAACATTTTTTAAAGGATTTAACATCGACCGTATCTTCTTGGAACTAATTGGTTCAATTTATGATTGATTGTCATGTTCAGGTTAGCATTTCTTTTAAATGTTACAGCCTATTTTTCAGTTTTTGTTATATTCATGAAGCGCTTCTTTTTTTGCTAAGAATCTCTTTGGAAAAGTTTTATCTGTTTTGTTTTAGTATTTGTAATGTGAAATTATGTCATCGTATTATTTTTCAGTGAAAATCGTTAGTAATGAATATGATACTAAGTTATACATTTGAAATCAAGTTTGGACCATATCATCAGAAAGTAACAGTCACAATGAGTCCATTTAGTCTTACAATGAACACTTTGAAAGATGTGGCTATAAAATTTATCGAAACAATGGTAACTAAATATTTTGAGGTAGTCTAGAGATAGAGAATAAGTAGTGAATTTTTATCATTATAGTGTCCTGATCAAGATATAAAATCATTGAACAATCGAATACTATTATTCAAGTATGAGCCATCTTCTTACCAAATGTTACTGCCATTGAATCCACGTGATATATTAAATCCAGAATGTATTGTTGAAGTTATTATTTCACGTAAGTAGTGGAAGTCACTTTTTTTTTATAGAAAATATGAAATACTATTTATAGTTTCTGTTGATAAAAGAATGTCTTGTTAATACTTAACATTAGTTTGTTGTTTTTTGTTGGTATCAGAAGTAAATTGGTCCAATTATTGATGTTTTCAAAACAAAATGAGCATGCTTTCTTTCCTAATTTTCCCTACTCCCAACTTATGTCGAAAAATATCAGCGAATTTAAGATATGCCCTCTCAAACAATGCCATTCTTAATTGCTTGGCGTCGGCAAAAAGAAAAAAGCGGGAATTTTGTCTGTTAATCAATTTTTTTTTCAAATACTAGATGTCAAATTTTATCGTCCTCAAACTAAATGAGTAGCGAACAAATATTATTATCAATTTCAAAATACAATGCACTCGGATACAGTATTTGAAGAGATGTGGATTTCACTGTTCGATAGAAGAGACCGGTGAACGTCTTTTTGTAAGTAAAACAAAGTTTAAAATTCTTTTCGAAAGTAGAATTTGGAGAGAATCTTTAGAAAACAAGTCTAGCTCTTAAAAAATTAAAGTTAAACATCTACTATAAAGAAATTTATAGCTCACTCAAGACGAGCAGTTGAAAACTTTGTACAGTAAATACTGTACAAAGTTTTCGGCTGCTCATTCAAGCTATTTCTAATCAGTAGATTTGACAAAATCTTATAGTCTTTTCAAGCGTTTTTAATGAATCTTTGAACATGGCTTTTCAATTGTTTCTGGTCGATATTGTTCAACGGTCAAAATTATCATATTTTGAAGTTTATTGTGTTCTTATGATATATCTTGAGTGAGTTATAAATCTTTTAATGGTAGATGTTTAACTTTAATTTTTTAAGAGCTAGACTTGTTTTTTAAATCCTCTCAAAATCCTACTTTCTAAAAGATGTTTACCAGTCTCTTCTGTCGAACAGTGAAAAGCACATCTCTTCACTAAAACGTTATTCAAATACTATATTCGAGTGTATTGTATCTTAAAATTAGTAGTGGAAGCTTTCAATTTTTTTCTCACGGAGACGACAATCAAGACTGAATGAATAATAACAAAGCGTTCTATTTTTTGACCAGAATGGTTCTTTAAAATTCTCAAAATAATGGAAGTCCATATTCGGTTTGTTCGGTTCATCACTTTTTGTTTTGAAAACTCGGCTACTCGTTTTTTTAAATCAAAGATGATGCGTTACCTGTTACTATTAGTAGAAAATGTAAAAATGTTTGCTATTTGAGTAAATAATGCCGTGCCGTGCATTTTTACGTGTATATTATTGTTGTCGTATTAAATACTATGCTCTACTGTTCCAGACACGCATCTGGTTAGATTGCAGAGAAAAACAACGTTTATTAATAACGGGAAACAAAGTTTAACTCGAGTTGGTTTAAAACCTACGTACTTTATTATTTCATGTAGCTTGCTTGTAAATAAAAGTAAAACTGAGACGATTGTTTATTCATATTGTTTCCTCCTCTCTAACATTTCTATTGTGTATATAATAATGAAACTGATCATTAAATGTCAAGATGATTATAAGTGGTGATATTTTTCCCTGTTTTGTTGTTTATTCCTCTTTCTCAATCATTATATTTCTATTCCATCCATTTTATGCTTGTTGTCTGATATGAAATATACTTAATATTAAATAACAAACCTAATTTTTTCCATAAAATTTACGTTATCACTCTGATACAAGAATATGACATAAACATGTCTTTTTTATCTTCATTGATTGAAATTTTATATAATTTAACAGAGGTAAGTAATGCAGGAAAAGTTTGGAAATACTTTTACTAAGTTTTTCGAAAAAAGGATTTTGAATCTTTCTTTCTGGAACACAAACGATTAGGTATGCAACAGTTTTTTTCGTATTTGGTTTAAACTATATTTATTTTAAAGATGAAGAAATCCTAATAACCCTCCAATTCCAATGGCGGCAAATTGCCATTACATAGTTCGAGGAGTTATTTTACAAGGTGTTACTCTCTTCCATAAGAGAAAAAAACAAAAAATGAAATGAAGCTGAAGGAAGAGAAAGAAAGGCTGCGTGTACAGTGAATAAGATGCAGGGGAAGGAGATGAGAGAGGGAATGTTGATCAATGCATACGAATATTGATCATTATCTCTTTTCCACTCTGAAACGCTCTGTTTTTTGTATGTACTTTGTAATGATGTAGTAAAGATCTTTGTACAAGTTTGATTCAAACTGTCTTCTGAGTAATAATGTGTCTAAGTCAATGTCTGTGTTTGAATCACGATGAGATAAATTGTTAAAAGTTCTTTTCTGGCTAAAACAGAGTTCGGGCATCGAAGAAAATAGTGTTCGATTGTTTTCGTATTTTTCAAAAAATGGTTTGTATTTTCGCAACAACAAACTATGAAATCCAGCAGTTCTGTAGAGCAAACATTTCTCTACAAGATGGCATATAGTAGATATTAGATATTTTAAATATCTACTATATGCCATCTTGTAGAGATATGTTTGCTCTACAGAACTGCTGAAATTTCACAGTTCGTTGTTGCGAAAATACAAATCATTTTTTGAAAAATATGGAAAAATAACTGTTGCATGCCTACAAACGATATAACGATAATTTCTTTCAGAATTAGAAATTTTTACCAGAGTGAGTTGAAAACAGAGCTGAGCGAGTCCGAGTCCAGATCATGAAGCAAGAAAAGCGAATAAGTGGATTATTTTTCAAACCTTTTTGGCTGTCGTTATTTGTAGTTCTTTTCTCCTATGCTGTACAACACATCAATCTTGTTGTAACAGAAAAAGTTATATAAGTAAAGTTTTATTGCATATCCCATACTGATATTGAAAAACTGAAAATGTTCCTGTTGATTTATGTAAGAACTTGAATCGATCGGACTCGAAACACAAAAACTCAAGTTCGAATCTTTTGAAAACATCTCCAATCCGAGTCTACAGAAAATTTTTCCAGTTCGGACTCGGACTCGATCAACCCTGGTTGAAAAAAGGTCAAGAGACTTTTTACAGCAATTTTTTTTTTAATGCAGTGTAATCTTTATGATAGTTAGTAAACGATAATGTAGAGTTGATTCTTCAATAATTACAAAGTATTGAGTAAATAATCTATTTCTGCTTCTTTATATTATTTACAAGACACTAGAAAAATGCGAGAGATAAAATTCTAATGACAGCAAAATCGATATAAACTAAAATGACTTTTAAATTAATAAATTGGTACATCTTCTTTCTTTTATTAGATCATTATTTATCTATTTAGTCTCTATAGATTTAACGTATAGTTTATTATGAATACTTCACGAAAATTAAACTTCATTTTTCAAAAGATTGAGATAATTATTTGTTATTGTTAACAAATTTTAGTTTTTGTTTTTCTGTCCCATAAATCTTGTTTTGAATGTGTGCTCTTTGACTGAGTGAAATAGAGACGATGAGTTGAATTTTTTTTCTTTCATCGTTCGAATGCTATAAAGTCAGTCACTAGAACCTAATAAATTATTTAAAAGTATGTATATAAAGCACTAGAAAATGGTGAGTGAGAAAAAAGAAATGAGACATTTTCATACCGTTATTTATGCCTCATAAAATTTTCTGAAATTTTTTGATGTACCGTTCATGTTATCGAACAAAATAATTACTAACAACTGCTTTTATTAGCAATGTTGGTTTCTTTATGGAAATTGTTCTATAATTCGTGACATGCAATGATTGTGTTTGTGAAACGACCTTCCTGAATAATTCTTGTTTTAATTATATTAATCAAGGAAAAAAAAGAAAGAATGAGAGAGAGAGAGAGAGAGAGAGAGAGAGAGAGAAAAAGATTTTCTGTTTATCTAACCCTTTATCAATCCAGGTTTTATTGTTGTTCATCCGTTTTCTACTTGTAGATAATTATTCAAAAACATGTGTATACCTTTCTGTCTTTCCTTTTGATAGTCTTGATTAGTAGCATGTTAGAACGAGTATTATTTTGACTTTTCGTACACTTGTATATTCCTAGAGTAAGTTGTGTATCTCTTCTTTTTTTTTTTTTCTTCTCTTAAATAGTTATAACATGTTTTCCAACAACACCGTGACTTTTTTTAACATACTTGTATAATTTTTTTTTTTTTGCTGTCATTCTACAATGTATATTAGATTTTTTGATTCTTAAACAAATAATACTATCACAGATCATCAATTGTTATATATGGTACACGATTTTTTTCGATCAAATCTTTCAGTGTCTCCTTTGTTGCCCTTCTCTCTCTTTCTCGTTTTTTTTTTTTTTTTTTTTTGTTGTTTTTTTGGGAAAAGTCTAGTGCGCCGATGAAAAAAAAATATATATATAAGAGAAAACTTCTAAAGAATAGAGCAAATAGTTATTTGAACTAGGGTAAGAAAAGAGACGAAGAAAAATATTGGTGATTAAGGTCGTTTAAAAGTTACCTATGATTTTTTTAATCGTATAAAACGAGAAATCATTAAGTATCATAGGTAAGAATTATTATACATTTTTTTTCTTCAATCAACGAATATATCTATATTTAACTGAACGAATGTTTAAGAAATTTGCTCTATCTTTCGTGTTATTAGTGAAAAATTAAGAATTTTATTAGAAAGTTTTAGTAACTTTCAACATGAAATTAGAATTTTCTGAACAAACTGAAGTAAGAGATTAACTTAGTATTTCCCACCATTGACTCTATTCATTAGCCATTCAAAGAAATTTAGTCTAGTCATTCTTGATTTTGGTGAACTTGAATCTAGAATGTTCGATGTTGCTAAATTAATTCGTTGTCCATTTTCTTACCTCAGGCTATTCTATTGACGTTGATTTAGAATCTTTCTTTATTGATTGTAATAATCATAAAAATTCAACGGAAACATTACTAACGGACGTGTGCAACATCTGTCTCTCACCATCTTCATTCTCCACCATCTCCATGTTGAAAGAATGTGTTGTTGATTGATTATTGTGGTCTTGATGACCTGAAATTTAACAGAAAGAAACGAAACATATCATGTTTTTGTGTATGTGGGATGTGGAGAATGAAGACGGTGAGAGATTTTTCTTGTAGTAAATGTACATAGTAGAATTTTTATTTTTGATGACACATTTACTTTTCATAATATCGTTCTGTTTCGTACATAATTTTTCTATTGAATTAGAAGAGTCAGAAATGTATCCGTTAATGTCATACCATCGAAATTTGCCAAATAGAGAAAACAAGAGAATTGATAGAATCTGAACTCGCGGAATTGAACTTTTGTTTCTCTAGTTTTTGTGTCTTCTTAAATGATTGTAGTTTATCTGGTAGAAATAAGCATGATATAATTTGGAGATCTAAGCTAAATGACTTGACAGTTTTTAAGCATAAAATAATTTTCTTCCTCAGTGAAATTACGTTATTATTCTTAAACAAAGTGATGATTTTAAGCAACATAATCTTCTAATAAAATTTGTTTTTTATATACCAGGAGGCAGTAGACAATTAAATGAATAAAATTTCTAACGGATGATCCACAATAAATGGATCACTTAGTAATTTCCTCATATCTCAGTTGAATTTTATCCCCTAAGCTTTATTGTTTTATTAGAAGATGGGCCATGAAATTCTCTACAAAAAATATATTAAACATTGTTTTATATACCATAAAGATAAAAGAATATAGAAAAAATACTGCAAAGCTTCAATCTCGATTACATTGTAACTCAAAAGACAAGGAAAACAAATTTATTTTGAACACAGTGTCATACGGCAAAATGGAATCAGAATGTAAGTTCTACTCTTCCAAAATGTCGTCTTTCTTTTCGTCTATCAGAGGTTCGATTTAAACGTGTTTCTCTGACACATAAGACGATGGTACGAAAATTTAACAAGAAAAGGGGAATTTTGTCTTTTTCGCCGTCACACAGGAAAAGAAGAGAAAATACTGGATTTTCTTTGTACGGATGTAACAGAAGAATTATTTTACTTTAAGATAAAGCAGATCCGATCCCAAAATGTTTGATTTTCGTCGAACTATAAAAGTTTTCCTAACTGCACCAAAAATACAAGTTGGACAATGTTGATTTCGGGGAAAAATCGATAAAAGAAGAAAAAAATTTCTTCCATAACCGATTATGATTCCAAAGTGTTTTAAATATAGACATCTGATAGAACTTTTTAAGGGCGACCAAATGGCCATCTTCTTGTATTTTTGTTTGGGCTAAGATTGAAAATATTGCTTTTGGGATTGCAAAATAATCAAGTACTGTAAAGCATCATAGTATTTTTTCTATATTCTTTTATCTTTATAGTATATAAAAAAATATTTATTATATTTTTTTTAGAGAATTTCACGGCGCATCTTTTAAGTGAATAATAAAGTTCAGAGGATAAAATCTAACTGAGATATGAACAAAATACTAAATGACCGATCTATTTTGCATCACCCGTTAATTAAAATAATTTTTCTCTACTGAACTATTTAAATATTCTCTCATATGTATATCTATATATAGATATGTGGCTGTTGAACAAATAGTTGATGACAAATAACAAAGAAATAGAACATTTTTTTTCCCTGTTACCCAATGAATAGTATTATTACATGCTGCGATTACTTAAGTGATAAGAGCAGATGTGATTATTAAATGTCATGTTTGTTTTTCTAGCTGAACGAGTGTATATGAAAATGAAAAGAAATTAATACTTTTAAAGTAATCTATGATACAATTATATAGACAGAGAATGTGCACCACTAAATAGATTTAAATATGCTTAAAAATTTGTTTAAAAGTAATTGATGACAAAAGTAGAATAAATTTTCTATTCTTTTTTTGCTTCTCAAAGTCTCGATTCATTCCCAATTTACTCACTCTCACTATTGATGTTCTTGTTTTTGACGTTGTTTAATCTTAGGAAGCCAATTAGAAATGAATCGAAAGGACATCCTTCATTTTATTTATCAAGGTAATCTGTTTGTGTTTAGTGAGATGAATAAATGAGAATGAAAGAGAAAACTGAGCAAGTTTTTTATACTCGATCGACATTTTTGTTCAATGTATTGGGAATTATTATTATTCTCTGTCTGAGATGTTTATTATTGTCTATTAATATTCATCCTCTTGATCACATTTCATTATTCAATAGCGTTTTTTTTCTTTACTAAGTGTGTCTATATCATATTGAATTCTTATCTTCCATTCTTTCTTTTTTTTTTTGTCTATAACAATTTTTTCTTCTTTGTTCACGATAAAAATAACTATAGATTATGTTGAAGTTGAACACATCGATTTTTTTTTTGTATTCTCAATATATGTTACAATCACGTTTAGAATGAATCAATATTGATTGCTTTACACTTTTAAAACTTTTGGCCTTTCTTCTTTTTTTTTTTTTTTATTATTATTATTGGTAAATGTTTTTTTTTTTTTGCTTCTAAACAGAAAAATGAGTTTTGTTTTCCAAAACCGTCTAATCTTCTAATATTGAATATTTTTATAGCTTCTCTCCCTTTTTTTCTTTTTCTTTTTTTATTTTCTAAACCGAGATATAATAATAGAAGAAGAAGAGAAGAAAAAAAAAGAGGGTTTAGTTTCTCTTTTTCCATTTTAAGTGGAAAGAATATTACTTAATATCTTAGATGGTTAATGATTTCGTGTTAGAGTTAAGTTTAACAAAGTAAGCGTTAAAACAAAACCTAGACACTCTTGTTCTATATTTAGACAAAAAATAGCTAATTAGATATGTGAATTGTGATGAGAGTTTATCCATATTTAAATATAATAAACATTTTAGATTTTTTTAAAATATTAAAATAAAAAATTTTTTTTCTCTCTATTTCAGCATATATAATGAGTGAATGTAATCGTTTGATACCGCATGTGTTGAGCCTTCACACATATTTGGCACCAACATTTTGTGATTTATGTGGTCAATTTTTATTTGGATTATACAAACAAGGAATGAAATGTGAAGGTTTGTTTTTAATAAAGAAAAATTTATTTATTTATAAAAAAACTAAAACTAATTTTTTTTATTTTTATTTTTATTTAGGATGTGGTAGAAATTTTCATAAAAGATGTGTTACCGATTTACCTGATAATTGTTCGCCAATGGCACGTAAAATATCGGATGTTGCTTTGCCTAATGATACGGTAAAAAAATTTATTCAATATAGAAACAAAAACATAGATAAAAAAATTTTATTTTCCGTTTTTTAGATGGTTCAAGATGTAAAAAAACGTTTAACATTAACTGGAGCTGAATTACCTCAAATGCCACATTGTTTCTATGTTCATAGTTATCGAACACCTACAAAATGTAAAATATGTAAACGTTTATTAAAAGGACTTGTCAAACAAGGATATCGTTGTAAAGGTAAATTTAAATATATTATTAGAAATTATTATAGACAAAATAATATTATTATTTTTAGATTGTAAATTAAATGTTCATAAAAAATGTATCATTAAAGTGACAAATAATTGTCGTGGACTAGCTCAAATTAGTTTAGGAGCAGGTATAAAAAAAGAATTAAATTTTATGCTCTATTTCTCTTCTTTTTCTGTTTTTTTTTTTATCTTTTATTAAAGACGATGATGATATATCACGGGAAAGTGAGGAAGTGATGAATAGTAGTGTGCGTGATCCATCACCCGTCGATATTAATGAGGGTGATGATGATGATTTAGAAGGGTATGTTTTAATTTACTTATAAAAATTTCTAGGAGACAACTAAATAGTTTTAGCAATAGGAAATTGAAGTTCTTTTTCTGAAATGTAACATAATATTTGAAGAATAATAAGATAGAATAAAATTGACAGATAATCTTATTTTAATAGTTTATCGAAACATGGTAATGTTCGTGCTCAACGTCTTATACAATCAATAAAACGTGTCAAGAAAGCTAGTGGCGGTGCACTATTTTGGGAAGGTATTAATCATTTAATTAATTTGACTTATCAATATACAAGATGTTTATATTTAGGATGGATGGTTCATACAACCGAGAAAGAGCCAACAGTAGAAAAACGTCATTATTGGCGCGTTGATGCAACGTGAGTTAATGAATAATAATATGGGGGTAATAGTAAAAACATGAAACACATCCACAGATAGCCACTGACAGCTATACAGACAGCATAGAGACATCCACAGACAACCAAAAAAATGTTGTCTATCTAGCTGTCAGTGGCTATCTGTGGATGTGTTCATGTTTTACTATTACCCTAACGGTATAAATCTCTTTAATACTTTATTATGTTCTATTTTCTAATGTAGATGCATTACAATGTATCAAAATGAAGCAACAAACAAATATTATAGAGAAATCTTACTTGAAGGTGTATCAATGCAAATAAATTCATTTACAGACAAAGTACATTTTTTTGAACTAAAAACTGATAGTAATACATACTATTGTGGTTATCGTCGATCCAGAGTAAGTTTAAAAATTTTTATTTAGAATAAAATAGTACTTTTTTTTTAAAAATATATTCTATTCTGTTGTTTTTTTTACAGCGTTACGATTTAGCTCATTCTTCTCAACATGCAAGAAATTGTTATAATCAAATTCGTCAAGCTCTTCTAGCTTATAATAATGAAGGCAAACTACGAGTCTTATTTAATTTACAAGTTTTTCTATGTTATCTGTCTTTTTTTTTTTTTGTATAGGCGAAGTCAAAAGTTTATTTACAATAATCTCCTCACGATACCAAAATAAGGTGCAAAAAATAGTCTCTTTTGAAAATAAGTTATTCGTAAATTGATCTATATATTAACAGGATATTAATGAATTGTATAAAATTGATCCTGTTGAAGTTTTGGGATCCGGTCAATTTGGTACAGTTTATGGAGGTATTTCTGTCTATAGTATTGAAATTAATTTTTTCTATATTACATATTATTTAATAGGTTATAATCTTGAGACGAATGAGGCTGTAGCAATTAAAGTTATTGATAAATCTCGATTTTCTGAACAAGAAGAAAAAATTCATCGTGAAGTTGATATTCTACACGAAGTATTACATCCTGGAGTTATTAAATTACATGCCATGTTTGACACACCGGGAAAAGTAAGACTGTTTTTTTTTTCTTTCTCAAATAAGCTTATTAATTATTTATTTTCTTAAAGTTTTATCTTGTTATGGAAAAACTTCATTCTGATATGTTAGAAATGATTTTAACACAACCAACAAAACGATTAAATGAACGACAAACAAAATTTCTTATTTATCAAGTAGGATTTTATGATTATTGCTCTTCGAATTAGAAAAATTGAATTATTTTATTTTCTTTATTCTAGGTTTTAGTTGCATTACGTTATTTACATAGTAAATCAATTGTTCATTGTGATCTTAAGCCAGAAAATGTTTTACTAGCAAAATCTGAAGATTTTCCTCAGGTATATACTCGAGAAGAAAGAGATAAAATAAATTTCAAATATTCTTTTTTATCTCTAGACAAAATTATGCGATTTTGGATTTGCTCGAATTATCGGTGAAAAATCATTTAGACGCTCAATAGTTGGAACTCCGGCATATCTTCGTAATAAGAGTGAATTCATGTAAATTTTTGATTTAGTTCATCATTTTCTTTTTTTGTTTCAGCTCCAGAGGCACTTAAACCAGAATTAAGATTAGAAAAAGGTTACAACAGATCATTAGATATGTGGTCATGTGGTGTTATAATTTACGTCTCGTACGTTACTAACACTTGACTATCGTTTTCTTTTTAAAGAACTATTTGATTTATTTTAAGATTAAGTGGTACATTTCCATTTAATGAAGATGAAGAAATCGAGGATCAAATTCGTAATGCTAACTTTATGTTTCCACCTAATCCATGGAAAGAAATATCGAAAGAAGGTATGTATTTTGAGTACATTTTTCTTTTCTTGTCATCAATTGATAAATGATGATATCCAATTCTTAACTACAATTTGCTTTTTATACTTTTAAATCGGAGTTTATAGAGAAAATGTTTACGGATAATTTTTAGTTTAATCTAATCGTAGAAACATTCTAGAAAATTTACCTTGATTTTTTGTGATAGCCTGTCTATCATATGCGCTCAAATTTTCGAAAAACTCTGAACGCATTGATGATGCTTTGATTAGTTTTTTCCTTAAAGTAAACAAAAATTGAATTAATATTTGATTGGGTAATATTACTATTGAAATATTTTATAACATCCTGGATGAATAAAATTTGACTATCATCAGTTTATTCGACAATAATTCGAGGTTGTGGCTAATTTGAACTGAAAAGCGTATATACTTATCATGACAGGTTTCGTTTCTCTTATAAACAGTGTAAAATTGCATATGTTCTTCTTCGTATTTATTTTCTACCCTTATTCTCACTACTTTGTATGGCTTTTCATGGCCTATTTTTCTATATCCTGCTATTTGCCTAGATCCTTTTAGAAAACTCATGTCTTTAAAAATTTGATTGTATTTGATACATCTTCACAAAAAGCCTAATACAAAAAATAAATATACACAAACATTTTCTCTAAAAATTCCAATTTTAAAACTTAATCTTAAAATTAATGAAAAGAAATTTATTTAAAATGAGCCTTCGTTCTTTGTTTTTTCAGCTCTATTTCTTGTACAAGGACTTTTACAAGTTGATAGTCGAAAACGTTTGCTTATAAACAAAGCTTTTCTACAAAATTGGTTACAGGTCGGCTATTTCTCTCCTATCATTTGCATGAAAGCATCTTTAACCTATTTTCATTCACTAATTGCATTATAAAATTACTAACCAGAATAAAAAGATTTTGCGTGATCAAGCATTCATACGCTTAGAAAAGACTAACTACCTACAGACATTAACAAATTGCATGAATTTAATATATTTTTTTTTATATCTCATATAAAAAAATTATTATTCATCCCTTGAATTTAGATTTTAATTTTACCATTCTCTCCTTTATTTTGTTTTTTTTTCAGCAATAGATTTAATATCTCATTATTTATTGCAAGTGAATGTCGGTCATCGTCTAGCGGCTGCAAGTGCCCTTAAGCATCAATGGTTTGAGGTGAATTTGTTTTCCTTATTTCCTAGCTTCTTCTTTTACTCTCTCATTTTTCCCTTTCTACAATATTGCGGCATGTTTTCATTCTAAAAATATAATATATTAATTATTTGATGTATCCACAGGATTATCAACTTTGGTGTGATCTAAGAAAATTAGAAGAATATGTTAATGAAAGATGGTTAACATTGCCAGAAGACGATGAAAAATGGGAACATTATGCGATAGAAAATGGACTCGGAAAAGCAACAGTTTAAGGTTCGTATTAACTTAAAGAGAAGACTTTAATTTTTTCATTCACATACATTTAAAACTTTCGTCATATTGTTAACTATGGAATAGATAATTGTACAGTTATAAAAATATAAAAATAGCTAGTTTTTTTTTTCTTTTTTTGTTTTTCGTTTCAGATCCGATCAAGATTCTTGTCAATCGTTTAGGATCAAATACTTCTATTTATAGTTCACGGTGATTTTATTTAGATGTCGTTATTGTTTATACTTTTCAATTCTTTTTTTGTTGTGCAGCAAGGTGCTATCTCTATTGTCGGTGTCAGATATTATTAAACAAACATACAGAAACAAATTGATTTCGCTTTAGATTGGAAATAGTTGACAAATTCCGGTATTTCATACGTAGATTTGAACAGTTAAATTGTCCTTAGTGTGCTTTTGATATCAAATGTAGGACAAGTTTGTGAAATTAAAGCATTTAACTTTTTCTCTACGCACAGTGAAACTAGTCATAAAAAAGCAGTGAAATAAAACTTTACTAAAATGATCTTAGTGTGTTTTCTAGTCGTACTGTTGTTTTTAATTAGTTCGTATTTTTGTTTATAAACGTGCGTTCTATGTAAACATTTTTCTCATTTTTTTTTTGTCAACTTTTTTTTTTTCTTTTTTTTTCTTGTTTTGGTGTTATATGGTTATATGTATTTTTTTATATTTGTCAGTTTTCTTTTCGATGTCCACAAAATAAAGAACAAAACAATGTTACTAATACTTTCTATCATACAGTCAAAGGTACATCAGTTGATAGAGAGTTGAAAAATAGTAATTATTTCGTTTTATCAAAAAAAAAAAAATTCTCTCGATACTAACTTCCACTACGACTACCATATCAAAATGAAAAAAGATTCAGTCAACTTAAAAATGTTAAGTTATGAATTGTATTCATTATTTAAGATTATTTTTTTTTTTTTACTGTTTACAAATTTTTATGATGGAACGATCAAAACGAGCATTTCGTGATGTCACAAATAAACGAACAAGTAATTGATTAATAGCAATATAAACAAAATTAATAACAATATTTTATGTTTTAGGTAACAATAATGATTTAAACACATCCAAAGCAAAACAACAACGATTAATAAGTCGAAATTTGATACCATTGAATTCTACTACTAATGATGATGATGATTTTGGATGTAATTATAAAATGTCACATGTCAAAGAAAAATTTAAAACATCACGAACACCTAATAATTCATGTAAGATTTTTTAGCTACTTAGTGTCTTCATTCGTTTCTCTTTCTCTATTTCTGTCCAGCTTTGCATGATGATTCAGGTTTATCATTAATCACATCCACATTGTCGCCACTTAGTACGTCTCTTGCTCCATCAACAAAAAAGTTTAAATCAAATAAACAACCGATGACTCGTACTACAATTAATTCAAGACAAACAAGTGATTTAGAAGATTCTATGTCAATTGGTTCGATTGAATCGGATGATGTATTTTTGAGTGAAACAATAAATTCACGAAGTATAATATCCGTGAGAAGTCAAAGTTTTTCAGGTTCGGGTAGAAAACGACTTAATGCAACATCATCTAAACGATCGCGAAAAGAAATTGTAAGGACAGAAAACAAGACTATATCTACAAGTTGTTTATATCTATTCAATAGAATAACGAATTATGTTTACATTCTTGATGTTCTAGAATCTTGATATGAAAAATATGTTAGATGAACTTCAAAAAGAACAGCAACGTATTGAATCTCATCGATTAATTGAAGATCTTTAATTTTATTTCTTATTGTTATATTTTATGTATTCAAATGGCGTTAAAACAGCTTAGTAGCTGAGTATCTTTTTGTTAGAATCTCTTCTCGTTACATTTACTTTTTAACTACTTTACTTTGTTTGTACTTCGTCAGAACATTGATAAGGTTATTTTTTTTGTTTTTTTATGTTGACTTATGTTTTTGTCAGATCATACATTTATTTTTACTCGTGCCATGTATTTGTTTTAATGAGATGTACACTGTGTTTCATAACTATTGATTTTTTTCGTTAATTGTGTGTATTTGTTCGGTTATACAAGAGCTTTTTTTTTTATTGTTATTCTATGTTTTTCAGGTAAGATAATCACGGTCTGTTTTAGAGAACTGTATATAATGTGTAAAACGGAAGATCATTCATTTCGCATTTATCTATCTATTTCATTACATCTATTTACTATGATCAGATATCAAAATATTATACTTTAAATAAAGAAGCGAGAAAAGTATGATCTACAGAAAAAAAATGAAATAAAAGCTGAAGAATAGTCGAAGAATTTAACATACTAATTTCTGTGCACATACCACATCTTTGTTGATAAAATATGACAAAATGAAAAATGTCTTAAATGAATGTAATTATTGATCTCTATCTAAGCTGCATGCATCAGTCATTTTTAAATTCAAATCTTTACTCAGTTGGTGTTGGAAGCGTTAAAAAAAGATACGTATTCTTCTAAGGTAGTAAGATGGAGAGTATTATCGATATTTTCTTCCACAAAATGGAAAAATAAGTCCTGATTCGGGACACGTCACACATAGTCGCTTTATTTCGTGATCGTCTAAAACAGGTTTATGCATCGCAACTGGTCTCTCATAAAAGATTGACTCGACAGAAAAAGTTTTTGCTACTTCGAGAGGTGCTATTGTCGCATTAACAAGGTGAAAGTACATACTATACCAAACATCTTCCGGTACAGCGCCATCATATGGTTTCATTTTCAAAAGTTTTATCGTTTTATTTTTGTTGCGTAGAGAAAATCCACCATTTCCAACTATTATTCCAGGTGGTAAATGAAATTTTGAATGCCATGGTGCACCAATGAAATCATAAACGAGATAATCTGTAATTCGATGAGGTGTATTTGCACAAAATAAAGTGTCCATTTGAAAAAAAAGAACCTTTTCTCCAAGAATCTTTTCCCAAAACGATAAATTTGTTAACATGTGATTTGTATACCATCCCCAACCTTGATGACCCGTGAATGGTGTTAATTCATGTAAAATAATTTGTTGCAATTTAATATATGTGGATAACGTTGAATTAAGAAGAAATTGATAATTTTCTTTGCCATGAAATATTTGTATGGGCCATTCATTGGGTAAATGATGACGAATATTTAAGATTGTATAAATTAACATATCGATATTTCGAAAATCAAAAGTTACCGCTGAGTACATGGGTTTTATATTCTTTGGTGAAATAACACCGATAGATTTTGTATCAACTATTATATTTTTATCAGATATAATAAACCAATAAGTCTCATACATGAGAAAAAATACTATGACGCCAGATACGACAATTATTAAGAGTGTTCGTGAATAAAACATTATTGAACATAAAAAAATGTAATCTGAAAGAACACTAAAGATCTATATGGTAAAAAAAGAAGTGTTATTGACTTTTTTGTGTTAAAAGTGATAAAAATTGAGACACAGTGAATTTTTTTCTGTTGAATCGTTAATTTTTTGGTATTATTACTAATCATCCCTTCCACATAGACAATTAATTACGACTCAAAAACTTGGAGAATATAATGCTGAAGTCTTATAAAAAACGAACGTCTTTTCCTTTTTCAAATGAAAAACTGTATGAGGCTCTTTTATGTAAATCTTAAAAGTACAGGAAGTTGATTACATTTTTGTATTTCTAAAAAAATTTGCAAATACTTATTACGATAAGATTTAACAATAGTAAATCACCACAAATTTTTAATACTCAATTTATCGTGAAAAGGTCCTGAAAACAGATTAATTACAGAAAAAATGTACTCGGGTGGAAAAGGAATGAGTTTTAAATAGAGCAAGTAGTACATTCTAAAAAAAAGTTGTTCTTCAGGTTTTCAAAGAACAGAAAAATCAGTTTTTCAAAAATTGAAAACAAATTTTGAGTTCTTGAGAGCTGAAGAACAGAATTTGAGTTCCCTATTTGGGACAAATGAAAAACAAAATTTCCATTGATTTTTCTGTTTTTTGAAAACCTGAAAGAACAACTTTTTTTTAGAATGTATATTCGATAAAACATGTTAAAAGCATTCAACTTTTTTCTAGACTTTCGAGTTTTTCTTTTTTCCAAAGAAATATATAAATTATTTATTGAAAATACTTACTTATTTTTAAGGATTAAACTGGAATTTTGATTACATCATCGTATTAGAGTTCAATTAGAAAAATTTATTAAAAAAGTCACTTGAAATAAGAATACGTTTTATAATAGAGAAACATCTTGTTGATTGTATTGTAACTTCATAATTCGTTACTGAATTTAACTACTATACAAGGAGTATGAGTGAAAAATTCCTATTTTAAAAACGTATAACGTGATTGATTTGAGAAGAAGAAGAAAATGAAAATATTCTCTTCCACACAGATGCAGATAAACATCAAAAAATGAAGAATTAACAGAAGAGGAGCGAGTCACTTGTTTCATCTATTGACATTTAGTTGAGTGTAATTTAAGATTCAATTTGATTCAAGATTATTAGGAAAATTTTGCAAGATGAAATGATTCTTATTCTTTAGTTCTCAATATTCGTTTAAGTAAAATTATTTAGGAAGATTTAGGCCTGTTTTTGAATCTTATAGTATCCGACTATTTAACTTAAACTAGAGTGCTGTATCAAATGGACTTATTCACGCAATTTGCTAACTTTTAATCAGTTATTCATGAACGATAACTTTTATTTATTAATTTTGATTTTTTCAACTTTATTATTGAAAACGTACTTTTTTCCAAATGTTTTTGTTGAAAACAAAATAATAACTCAGATTTGTTATTCGGATCTTGTTTATCTCTTAAATTTTGAAAAAAGAAAAACTCTACGAAAAAAACTGATTGCAAGCTTGAACTAAACTCTTGATTGTATAATGAATAGGAAAATATTAACCAGTTTTTATACTAAATGACTTCTTTTTATTTCGTTCATTCTCAAATTATTGAAAAGAAAAAAAATTTTGATATATATTAGAAAATTTTATTTTTATTGATCTCTAGAGAAAGGTTACGCTACTGGCAGTAGGAAACTTCAAGTACTTTAACGTCTGCAAGTCTTCTCGGGTTTGTACGAAATGGTTTTATTTTATAAAAAATAAAATTTTGAGCTATTTCAAAATTTACATATCTGAAAACTATTACTTAAATATTCACAATAGATGACACAGTTCATAACATCGTAACATGAGTTTTGATAACACAAGAAATATAATAAATATCATCAAATATATAATGGACATCAGGAATAAAACGACTTTTTATTATTTCTTTTATATCATTATTTTTTTCATTTTCTCTTTTAAATTGCTGCAACGTATAAAAACATTATAAAAGAATGATATAAGGTGTTTGGGTAAAATCAGAGAAAATATGAAATCTTTTTGAGAAGTGTGTGAAATATAAATCTATTTTTTTCCCGTATTATTTTTTGTTCAAGGATATTTGTTTTTTTTTCTTTTTAAATATTCTAACACTTAATGTAGACTATTATTATGAAAAAAAAATCTTTTAGTTTCCATAAAAATGACAAGTTACCTACGGTCCTTAATGTCTCATAGTCAATGAAAAAAAACGGTTTTTTTGTTCTTTTATGTACGCCGTTGAAATAATTAAAAAGTAATGAAACTAATTCACATTTTATCAAGTAAACGAATATTATTTAAACATTTTTCATAGATGATGCGTTCATGACATGGGCTTTGATAACACTGCAAACATAGTTAATATCATCGGTTTCGAGACCATGATGAGCGCCAACGAGAAAGCCATCACTCATTATTCTATCTGAATTAGGAAATTCTTGGAGATATTGTCGGTAGGCTGGATGACGTGTGACGTTACCAGCAAAACACACACGTGTTTGAATCTCACAATCTTCCAGTTTCTGAAGGAGAGGCTTTCGATTTGGTAACATAAGTGGTAACGCTAACCAATCCATACTATCATGTTGTTTAGGCAATACAAGACCAAATTGTTCAAGTTCTTTGAGTTGTTGTACATAATTTGCAATATTATCTCGACGTTTTTGTTGAAAAAATGGAAGTTTTTTCATTTGTTCAAGACCAAAAGCAGCGTTCATTTCTGTCGATTTAAAGTTATAACCGAGAAGTGGATAGAGAAATTTGAAATCATATTCAATACCATCAATGTCATGGCCAAATCTTTCCGAAAAATTTTCGGTGTTCGTCCCCATTCGTCCCCAATCACGATATTGAAGTGCCTTATCTCGTTGTTCTTTTTGATTACACATCACCATACCTCCTCCACCTCCTGCCGTGATTATATGACTCGAATAGAAGGATGCCACTGATATATCCGTTACAGGAGTACTGGTAATGGTATCACATGAATCTTCGATCAATAAAATATCTTGTCGTCCCAACATGATAAGTTCAGCTTTCAATCGATCCCAGTCGGGCTTACTTCCAATTAAATTAGGTAAAAAGAGAGCTTTTGTAGTTGCAGATACTTTGTCCATAACTTGTTGAACAGAGGGTACATAAGAACCAATTTCGACATCGCAGAAAACTGGTTTCAGACGAAGCTGCACTATTGGTGCAACAGTCGTCGAGAAAGTACAAGCAGGCGTAATGACCTCATCTCCCGGTTCCAGTCCTGCTATGAGCAACGCAAGAACATTTGCAGACGAGCCAGAATTGACCATGATGCCAAAGTTTTTCTTGTATATTTTGGCTACTTCGCATTCAAATTTTTCAGTGATAGGACCTGGCGCTAACCAGCCTACTCGTAGACATGCTTCCACAGCATTTATTTCTTCTTCACCGTAGGCCTCAAATTTATGTGGAGCATACCAGATTTTTTTATGGTGTATAGACATTTCACAATTAAATTGCAGTAATTACGGGTAGAAACAGAAATATAAGTTTTATTTGATAATGTCTAGTTGTTCCAATCCAATAGAGTATTTGATAAAATCGATTATCCTTCTAAATAAAGATAGATCTAATTTTAATTCTGTACTATAATAACTTCTCGAGTAAACCTTGTAAAGCTTTTGCTTACTTTTATGAAAGACACGCACGGTTTGTCAAAACTCTAAGTGGAAATGTTGAACTAAATGTTCGTTATAAACAACTGTAAAAAAAAAAAGTTGAAAAAATATACCTTTTCCTTTGTCGTTCTAGTATAATACATTCTTCTTTTTCTTTTAATGACAGAACGGAAAAACTGTTCCAATCCCACGTTTCATTTTCAGAAAAAACTCGTTTAAAATATATTAAAAGGAATTGATGAAGCGAGAGCGGACGAATACATTATATTACAACTAACTATTTTTCTTTTCTTCAGAACTCAGCAGCGTTCAATCTTACAATATATAACAACAAAACAACTGTTGGAATGCGTCCTATGTAAAAATTTCGAAAAAAAAACGCATGTTAGTTTTAACACACTCGAACGTGTTTTGGAATTTTTTTTAAGAAAAACTGGCTCACACACGTTTCTCTTTTCTGTAAGAAAACGAGTTCATGCGTATATATTCTATTAATTAAATCGAATGTTAAATAATATTAGTCATCATGTGCAAAAAGGTAACATGATAAATCGATAAGATTTAGAAAAATATCACATAATTCCCAAAAATCTTCTAAAATAACACAAAGCCTAGACTTATGACTTATGTCAAATATAGGCCGTCAGACTATCGTATATTTTAGTTGGACATTTTGTTCAGAAAATACACGTCTATGTCATCACTTTTATTAATTCTAACATTCACATATATAACAGAAAAAAAAATGTAATTTTATATTTTCATGGTAACTTTGTTTGCATGGAAAGGAAGTAAACGGAAAAGTCGAGCAGAAACAGCTGCTAAGAACTAAAGATTATTCTCATCTTCGTATATCATATTAACAACAACCATACGCCCTAATACATTCAGTCGAATTTTATGACAATGTTATTTTGTGATTTATCTACTGATCTTAATAATAAAAAATATTTAATGCCAACTGCTGTATCATGCATTGATTTTGCACTAAAATAAGTCATTTTATCGATAGATGAATAACGAGACGTTGAGTCTAATTCATTTCTACCTTCCTTCACTCTGTTGAATCTGTCCATACACTGCTTAATATTGAGTTTTCAATTTTATATCTTTTTTATCTTAAATTATTGTCTCTAAGACGTTTAAGTTGGATACTATCATCATTCATTGACAATGTTTTAGTGAACGCTGTTTCATTTTATAAAATCTTTTGATATCTATTTCTTCAATCATCTTTTGTAAATGCGTATACCTCGGTGTCGGTTAACCGACACTACTATTTGGCTTTGATGTTGCAAGAAAAAGTGAAGAGCAGGAGAAACCATGACATAACAGCATAAACTACTTATGTAACTAGGTATGCCCCAGTTATTTCGGTTGAGGTAGGTTACCCGCTAAAAACCGACTGGCAATCGATATTGGCTATGCTTGTAATTGATCATTATCGATAGGTTCTGAGAAGAAATTCATCATTGTTCTGCTTCTAGAGCACTACAGTAACTGAGAAACCGATCGGTTATTTTTGGTTATTTATAACTGACGCATGCCTCAAGAAATTCTCGGGACATAACACAGATGATCAGAAGAAGAAGCATATACATACGCCATCCATCATGGGACAAATAACAGATATTAACTCGTTCTTTACGTCAAGAACGTAGATTTGTGTGTTTTTTTCTGGTTTTGACGTTTTGAGTTTTACACAGCTACGAAATATAAAGAAATATCCGACTTTATCCACTCATTAAAATAAAAATCAGATGTTTCATTGACAATAGTAAACAGATGTTATGTGCTAACTCTTTATATCATTTTAAACCGTTCCACAGCAATATTTTGGATTTTTTGGTGTCGATTTAAACCGAATATCAGTTTTTTAATGTCCATTTTTCGGTCTGTATACCTACTTACTCGTAAACAAGCATAACAGTTGTATTACTTCTCGATTTTCTATCATAGTCTTTTATTGCAGATCAAAATAATATACATTTATTTGGCTATATTTCAGCACATAATATTCTTGTTCTGTTTTCAGGACAATTACGACAAAGTTGTTGACCACCTGGTTAGCTATAATAATATAACAGATGATTTACTGTATGATTATGTATAAAAGATTTTTTCGGTTACTTACAGTACTTAAATAAAAAGCTTTTGAAAAATAATAGGACAATAACCAGACCAATCTAAACTATATTTAGTTTAATCATTTTTTATTGATGCAGTTCTAAAAGCGAGAGTCGAAGTAATCATAATAAGTGCAACTTTGAAGGCAATGAATATTTACATTGAAAATTGTTAGGAGCTGAACAGAAAATGCCATTTGAGTTTAATAAATCCACAGGCGTTGAGATATTTAAATGTTGTGAGAAAATATTTTTACATTTATCTTCCACCCACTCAGATTCTTTCACAAACATACTTGGTCCAAAACAGAAAAAATTTGTAGGCGAAGCACGTCTAACTTGTATAATTGTCTTGCATAGCTTTCTGATCTTGTGAAATTTTGTGGCAACTTATTTTAAGATCTTAGAAGACCAGTGTATAACAATCGGTAAGATCTTGAAACAGTCATTTGCCTATTGTGTTTGAATTTCTTGTCTTAAGAACTTACAAGATTTTACATCAAGTAGTGACTGATTCACACAATATAAATTTTGCTACGATGTATCATATATATATAAAACACCGTTCTGACATGATGAATAAACTTTAATAAAATTTTAACTTTTTTCTTCAACAACTTCACACATCAACTGAGCATAAAAAAAAGTGCATGGTTTAGCAACGTCACTCAATACGATCATAAGACGTAAATAAAATTCGGTACATTAGAGATCCCTTAAATGTTTTTTAATGGATCATCAACTTATTGTCAAATGATATTTTGTGATCATCTGGCATGATTGTTTAACCGTTTTTAGACATTTTAACTGGGATGTTCCCAAAAAGTGGCATTTTTTTGAGTAAAAACTGTCTGAAATCAGACAGTTAATAGTACTATTTAATGACCGTTTCTGCGTTGTTATTGTGCCGTAATAGTCAGTTATTTGGACTTTTCTCTGACTGATTTCGTTTCGATGAATACTCTCAAATAGCCCTAGTAAAAATCTTAGATACTTCTTAAAATTATCTTACTAAGGTCTTATAAGATCTCATCCTTTAAGATTTTGATAGTATAATCTAACGAGGGAACATATTTGAGTGACCCTCAATAAAAGAGACGAGACCTAGCCTGTCTTGTAGAGAATTTTACGCTGATCACGAATATGTATATCTTAGCTGTCCTGATTGTGGTCTCGATGCCACAAGGATTGAGAGAGAACATGATTTATTTCGCCTACCTTACCCTATTGATGAGTATCATGTTTCGTAGATTACTGCTTATTCTTTTTTGCATCATTCGATGCACCTTGAAACGCTCTACAACATGTGTTAATAGGAAAGTTAACGAAGCCTGGCAGCGGTTTTTGTATATTAAATACTTCGTCGCTTAATCCCATAGTGGGTCCAAAAATTGTTCGCCGCCTTTATTTTTCATTTTTCTCATCGACCATAATAGCTAGAATAAATTTGAAAAAAGATTTAAACAGCTGAAAGAATTTCCGATCTCAGGCGGTGTACACAACGGTTCTATCAAAACGACTGAAACCAGAGGCTCTGGAAAACCAAAATCTCAGAAAACCAAGTCCCGGGGTTCAATCTAGAAATTCTTTGCAAATATGTCGATCGTGTAGAGCAAATATTTCTGAAGAAAATGAGATGTCTTCGAGCTCTTTACAACATTTTCTCATGAAGCAGCATTCAATTTATGGAAGGCCCTAAGGACGTTTCTTCTTGTTTTCCCGTTAGTTCTGCTGCTATGGGGCCTTCCATAAATTGTATGCTGCTCGTCTCTTTTCTAGGGAGTCACTCAAATATGTTCCCTAGTCAGATTATATTATCAGAATCTTAAAGAACAAGATCTTAATAAGGGATATACCGAAAAAAGTTAAAAAGAAAAATATTAAACGACTAATATTAAAAATCAATTAAATTTTTTTCTATTTTATTGAAATACTTTTCTTGCTAGAGTAATGTGTCTAATTGGAACCGCAACTAGATTTGTCTAACTTGTGACTCTAGTATCTGAGTGAGTTTTGAAGCGATTTAGCTGAAAGTCTTATCTATTTAATGATATAAAAATTATTCCGAAATTCCCATCAGAGACGGATCGCAGGAAGATTTACTAAGGAGAGGGTCGTTTTGGTTCCAATTAGGCTCTGTGCCTAATAGGAACCGTACAGCGAAATGTATGTCTAATTGGAACCGTCCCGTTGAAATTACACGGGTTTGCAACGTTTTAGTAAAGCCTATTTTCTACAATGATTGTAGAAAATATTTCGCACAAATAAATTTGTACATAATGAGCCGATTTCGAGATTTTTCCAACCAATTAGTAATATTGTAGTCTCTGAGTAATGAAAGCATATGTACTACTACATAGTTTATTGTGAACATTGTACAGAAAGAACATACTAAAATTATTCACTTTCAATAAACCAGATCTAAATTTTGTCAACGTCTAGTAAAACATCATTCATAAAACAGTAATCACATACCCGAGATCCAACAGATATTGTGGGAACGTTATAACTACAAGAATAGCATACTATTCGTGTACATTTGGAACAATGATAATAAGTCAAATTAGAATTATATGGATGTTCACATTTGGAACATCTTTGTTGAATCTCACCAACTGGTTGCATTGGTAGCTGATGGTGATGACGGGAAAATATCATTGCGGACATTTGTGCCTGATATTGGATGTTGATATGAAGTTGTTGCGTGGGAATATGGTGGATCAAATGAATATGAGAATTGAGGCATAAATATTTGATGAGTTGAATAAGGATCTAATGGAGTTTGTGAAGGCCATATTAACACTGGTGGTGGATCTGAAACGGAAAGAAATAGCAATAAAATCGATTTTGGTTCGGATATGAAGAAAGCATCAGTACCTGTTGTTATCTCCGATGACATTGTACACCACCAGTGTCAATATGGCCTTCACAAACTCGATTAGATCCTTATTCAACCCATCAAATATTTATGCCTCAATTCTCATATTCATTTAATCCACCATATTCCAGATTTTAGTCATCGTTATTTTACAGCTGTCAATGATCTCTTGGTATGAGGGAGAATCTTCGGACAAACTCATGAGTGGCGAGCTTCATGTTAGTGGATTAGGAGGAGGTGACTACATCATAATTAAGCTACTCATTTAGGAACGGTTCTTAGTTGGAAAATGAAAAATCAGATGAAAATTTTGTTTTTCCAACTGAGGTACAGTTTTTGTTTTCACTGCAATCAGCGTGAGAACAAAAACGATATTAATATGTAGTAAACCCTACCTAAATAACGAACAGTGAGATATATACCAGATCTAGTTAAATAAAACTGTTCGGCGCTGGAGTATTAGGGGTGATTCTTTCGGGAGCGTACCTCATTTACATCGACTTCATCCCCAAGCAGACAAACATTTGGAAAAACGCGTTTAAACGCTCAAAAGGGAACCGCGATTGTGAGTCAGTAACGCTCATTAAAAAAACGCAAGAAACGCGTTTTTTGCGCAAAATTTTCACTTTCAGA